AAACTCTAAGCTGTGTTTAATCCTGTAAGAAATGGCTGCAAAGTTTTGAAAATCAACCATTTTACTCTAGCAGTTACAATGTTTTATATTCCACAAAGAAAGGACGAGAAGAGAACAGTTTCATGAAAAGTAAATGAAACATCTTTGCATTTACTTACATGATTTTGTCTTCATTTGCAGGTGACTGTTGAGCTTAAATAATAATATGTTAACTTTGTAATCTTAACTTGTTCTCTTTTGTTACTAAGTATCAGTTTAAAGTTTCAAACTACAAATGTTACTAATCATTGATATGCAAGTGGTTTATTATTTATACTTGTTTTTCCATACCATTGTTTATTCAGTTGGCAAGTTTAAACAAATCAAATATGTAATACATTTGTATATATATGATAATAATTAAATATTTTGTAGAACCGGAGGATAATAAAGACCTGGTTTCCAGCATCCGTAAAAACTTCCCTGATACCTGGCTATGGGACATGTATGAGGTTCCGTAAGTATACATCATTGTCATAATCAAATAAATTTAAACACCATTGTACAGCATTGTTGCCATGGATATACAATATTCTTTTTCTTAACAATACATTAAAGGTTCTAAGAAAGGCAATGATAGCTAACCAAATTAGAATTGTAACAGAATAATTTTGCATTCTGTGTGTTGTATTAATTAAATGTAAGTTAAATGCAACTGACATATGCTTAAGTGATTGCTATATGTCATAGGTACAAATGTAACTGTCTACCCCTTTAGGTCAATATAGGGAGAGCATTGAATTTGTAATCAAGATTTGCTTGTTCAATCCTAAATTTCTCCATGACTTGATCTCACACATTGAATCTTATGGTCATTTGTCTCTTACCACTGATTCAGAGCATGTAGGATAAGAACTTGGTCACTTGCAGAGAAATTGGTAATTTCTAAACATCTAGAATGTCACGTTTAATCTGGACTGAAGGCCAAAATTACAAATATACTTTGAAATCAGCTTCTTAACCAAAAAGAAGCAAATAAATTTTTATGGGTCATAGGTTGTAATGTATATTTATGGATCATATGTTAACATGTTATATTAAAGGTCATTGGTTATTAAATGTATTATTGTTATAGGTCATATTATAAATAAGTATTGTTAAATCAAGTCATAGATTGTGATATATTTTATACTAGGTCAAGTGGCTCCATGGTAATTTCGGAGACAATCCCTGATACAATAACTGAGTGGATGGGAAATACTGTGTGTACAAATGAGAACACTGGTCTTGGTGTATCAGAGATTTCCAAGATAACAACTTTCCAACCATTCTTTATCAATGTAAAACTACCATACTCTGTTATACGTGGAGAAATTCTCAATGTGGATGTCATGGTGTTTAACTATCTACCACATTGTACTGCAGTAAGTGTTATTTTAAACTCTTAAATTACTACCTTAGCCATTTTAAGACAAAGATAGTAACCAATGAACATGTTTTTATCATACATTAGTTTCAATGAAATCTCTGCTTTCTGAATTTATGAGATAAGATGAAAGAAATATGTTTGAAATCTGCTAGAGGAATCAAGTTTGTAATGTTGGGGAGCAATACAAGCAGCTGACAGGTTATTGTTGGAACTATGGAGTATGGAGGTACATATTGAGTCTGAAAGAATGCTCACATTGTGATGGTTAAAATATAATCTTAATAGTTTCAGTATGACTGAAAAACAATACCAAGTTGCTTTAAAACATTATCATACATTTTATTATTTAGAGTGGTTACAGAACTTTCCATTGATTTTACTTGACAACTTTGTTTTTGATCCCTGATAAACTGTTTAAATATGTTCTAAATATAATTTAAGGAATATTCTGACCAAGTTTGAAAAAGATGATGACCTCAAGAGTATTCACGAGTTATGGAGTGGTCATATTTAAGCTATAAGTAACACAAAGTTGTAGGAGACGTTGTTATTATTATCTATTACAGATTCAAGTAACAGTGGACGAGAATGACAACTATAGTTTGCTAAATGAGAATATAGGTCAGATGTGTATATGTAGTCAGCAGTCCAAATCTCATTCCTTCAAAATAAAGCCTACAGCTCTTGGTAAAATAAGCATTACATTCACTGTAAGTATAGAATCGAACCATTTATATTATTTTGTTTTAAACTTGCTGTGACTAATGTGCTTGCTACTATAAGAACATAATGCTCAAGCCAGGCCTGACAGAACTTCTGTAAAGTTGAATTGTACTTTTCATTTGTCAACCCTCATTTGTAATAAATCTCTTCAATAAGTAAGTATATTGCTTTGCACATGTTGGTCTGTATGATCAATAACTTAAGAATGTCTGATCCTAGGCACTTCAAACTTGGTATAGAAATGGGTCATGACTAGTAAATGAACCGTATTGTTTTCTTTGTTTTGTTTTTAGCTCACCTGTCACAAAGTGACAGGGTGAGCTTTTGTGATCGCTTTTCGTCCGGCGTCCGTCCGTCCGTCCGTCCGTCGTCCGTCCGTAAACTTTTGCTTTAAATGACATCTCCTCATAAACCACTGAGCCAATTTCATCCACACTTCACAGGAATGTTCCTTTGGTGGTCACCTTTAAAAATTGTTCAAAGAATTTAATTCCATGCAGAACTCTGGTTGCCATGGCAACCGAAAGAAAAATCTTTAAATATCTTCTTTTAAACAACCCTAAGAGCTAGAGCTTAGATATTTGGCATGAAACATCTTCTAATGAGTGTCTACCAAGTTTGTTCAAATAAAAGCCCTGGGGTTAAAATTGGCCCCGCCCCGGGGGGTCATTGATTTTCCCTATATGCATATAGTAAAAACTTAAAAAATCTTCTTTTAAAGAACTGTAAGAGCTAGAGCTAAGATATTTGGCATGGAACATCTTCTAGTGAGTGTCTACCAAGTTTGTTCAAATAAAAGCCCTGGGGTCAAAATTGGCCCCGCCCCAGGGATCATTGATTTTCCCTATATGCATATAGTGAAAACTTAAAAAATCTTCTTTTAAAGAACTGTAAGAGCTAGAGCTTAGATATTTGGCATGAAACATCTTCTAGTGAATGTCTACCAAGTTTGTTCAAATAAAAGCCCTGGGGTCAAAATTGGCCCCGCCCCAGGGGGTCATTGATTTTCCCTATATGCATATAGTAAATACTTAAAAATCTTCTTTTAAAGAACCCAAAAAGCTAGAGCTAAGATATTTGGCATGAAACATCTTCTAGTGAATGTCTACCAAGTTTGTTCAAATAAAAGCCCTGGGGTCAAAATTGGCCCCGCCCTGGGGGGTAATTGATTTTCTCTATATGCATATAGTAAAAACTTAAAAAATCTTCTTTTAAAGAACCAGAAGAGCTAGAGCTTAGATATTTGGCATAAAACATATTCTAGTGAATGTCTACCAAGTTTGTTCAAATAAAAGCCCTGGGGTCAAAATTGGCCCCGCCCCAGGGGGTCATTGATTTTCCCTATATGCATATAGTAAAAACTTAAAAAGTCTTCTTTTAAAGAACCCAAAGAGCTAGAGCTAAGATATTTAGCATGAGACATGTTCTAATGGGTGTCTACCAAGTATGTTCAAATAAAAGCCCTGGGGTCAAAACTGGCCCCGCCCCGGGGGTCATTGATATTCCTTATATACATAGCAAAAACTTAAAAATCTTCTTTGAAAAAACCCAAATAACTAGAGTTTAGATATTAAGCATGAAACATCTTTAAGTAAATATCTACAAAGTTTGTTCAAATAAAAGCCCAGGGGTCAAAACTGGCCCTGCCCGAGGGATGTCATTGTTTTTAACTATATGTGTATAGTAAAAACTTAAAAAATCTTCTTTTAAAAAACCCAATGAGCTAGAACTTAGATGTTTTGCATGAAACATCTTCTTATGGGTGTTTACCAAGTCTGTTCAAATAAACAAATAAAAGCCCTTGGGTAAAAATTGGGCCGGGGGACGGGGGCTATATACAGGTGAGCGACCTCAGGGCCATCATGGCCCTCTTGTTTCAATGTCACATTGAACTTTTGTATCAGAATAAAACCCATGGGCTTTCACCCTCAAACTTAACAGGTGCATTGGTCTCCGCCAGTAGATGACGCCTTTTGATTTTTGGACCAGGGGGCAGAAGGTCAAGGTCACATTTACCCTGCTTTGAATCATATTGCATTAGAAATGACTATGATTGTTAAAATTGCTGTAAACCTACTACATGTATTTTGAAAAGATAATTGTTTACTGTTTTTGTTATTCATAAGGAAATACCATTACGTTTCTTTGAGACTTTCATAATGGATTCTTATTCTATTTACCCATTGAAAGTTAGAGAGAGGGGGCATATGTGTCATTTTGACATTTTTTGTCAACTTATTAGAATTTGTTTCCATTTTTTAGCTCGACTATTCGAAGAATATGAGAGCTATTGTAGTCGCCCCGGCGTCGGCGTCCGCGTCGGCGTCTGCGTTGGTTAAAGTTTTTTGTAAAGTCAAATATCTCAATTATTACTTGAGATATTCAATTGAAACTTACAATACTTATTTATAGTAACAAGGTACATCAGATTGACAAGTTGGATAACTCTGTCTACAATATTGACAGAATTATGCCCCTTTTTAACTTAGAAATTTTGGTTAAAGTTTTTTGTAAAGTCAAATATCTCACTTATTGCTTGAGATATTCAATTGAAACTTACAATACTTATTTATAGTAACAAGGTACATCAGATTGTTAAGTTGGATAACTGTGCCTACAATATTGACAGAATTATGCCCCTTTTTAACTTAGAAATTTTGGTTAAAGTTTTTTGTAAAGTCAAATATCTCACTTATTGCTTGAGATATTCAATTGAAACTTACAATACTTATTTATAGTAACAAGGTACATCAGATTGTTAAGTTGGATAACTGTGCCTACAATATTGACAGAATTATGCCCCTTTGGAACTTAGAAATTTTGGTTAAAGTTTTTTTGTAAAGTCAAATATCTCAATTATTGCTTGAGATATTCAATTGAAATTTGAAATACTTTTTTATAGTAACAATGTACATCAGTTTGCAAAATTGCATAACTCTGCCTGCAATATTTGCAGAATTATTTGCCCCTTTGAAACTTAGAAATTTTGGTTAAAGGTCTTCAAAGATATTTACTTGAAACTTTACACATGCACTTAGGGTCATAATTGGAGGGTCATAATTGTATGTCACTGACCAAGTTCCATAACTCTATCTTGCATTAAGCTGATTCATATCCCCTTTTCTACTTAGTCTCTTGGTTAATTTTTACATGCAAGTTTTACATATCTCAATAACTATTCAAGGTATTTATTTAAAACTTCACATATGCATTTAGGGTCATAATTGTAGGTCACTGACAAAGATCCATAATTCTATCTTGCATTTAGGCTGATTTTTCTTCCCTTTTTCAACTTAGAAATTCATGGTAAAGTTTTGCTTGTAAGCTGTTATCTCAATAACTACTGAAGGGTTTGTGCCTTTTTTGGGACAATTTTATGCATTCATAATAAAGCAGTGATTTACTTGATAAAACATCTTAATAACAAGCCTTTGTACCTTTTCTGTCAAATTTATGTATTCATAGGTAATAAGTATTATTATACTCGATAAAACACCCTTGTGACATTACCTTCCGAAAAGTCAAGCCAATACTGTATAATTAGACTCTCTCTAAGGCCTATAACATGAATTTATCAAAAAAAATTAGCCCTTTTGTGAACTTAAAAAATTTAACATTATCAAGGCTCTTTTACTATCAAGCACTTAGAATAGTCGAGCATGCTGTCCTACCGACAGCTCTTGTTTTTGTGTATAATGCAGCATTTTCACAAACATGATTTTAAGAAAAAACATAAAAATAGACAGTTTGTTAGTCATGTTATGAAAATTGTGCAATATATTAGAATAAGGGACCTACAAAATTCTGATATTTGATATTTTTTCAGTAATTTTTATTTGAAGTTAAGGGAGTGAAGTTGTTAACTCCGAGAATTAGTAGCATTTTGTATACACACACACACACACACTGTTGTTAAATACTGTTTGTTTCCTTTGAACCATTATTCCATTTTCATGAAAAGAATGATCAAAATGTTGTTTTATTAAACAAACATGAAAAACTACAAAAGCTACAATTTTTCTGAAATATCTGGCATAGCAAGGAGCTGTGTACTACTGCAAAGGCCTTTAGAAAACTGCTGTGAAAAGTACTTGTTTTGACCAGGGCAGCTTTAGCTGACACACTAAAGAAGTTGAAACAGTTGTTATTGTTCAAGAAAATTGTTCATCTTGTTTTAAATTGTCTTTATAACAGGTAATGTAAAAAAATAAATAAGATATTGATAATTTTGGTGACAAAAAAGGTACATTTCACAAAATATGAGAATGTTATCATGTTTCGTATTTTTTTATTGATCAGGCATTCCTTAGAGAGCACAGGGTGTCTTGTTACAGAATAGAGAGACCGGCAAACTACAATAATAAGTTGGTGACAGAAAAAGTTGTCAAACAGCTCCTAGTTCAGGTATATCTTACATTTGGTTGAAATTTTGATCAGAAAAAACATCAATAACAATATCTAAACTTTGTCTGTTACTGAAAAGGACCAGGCCTTAATAATGAAGCTTAGAACTTTCTTGATTTTTTCAACTATGCAACTATACACAAACATATACTGACATTGTTGGATCTGTTAAGTAGACATAGTTTTCCATAAATCTATAAACAATGAAAGTACTTTATTATCTTTCAGGCAGAGGGCATACAAGAGGAATCAACCAGATCACAGTTTATTTGTCCACAAGGTAAATTTTTAATTATAAACATTAATTTACCTAACTTCTTTGTAATAAGGTTCTGTGTTACTTTTTATTTCTTTAGATTCTGGTAATCATAGCAAAATTTATCTTTCAAATTATACAATTATGTTTATATTGTAAAAATTCTCAACAAAAAAAATTGTTAATATCTAATTTTTGTACAATCAAACTTCAAAATTGTTTCATTTACATTATCTGAGTCTTCAAAACACTGCTAATAAATTGAAATATCATGGGATGGTTGAAAATGATAACTGAAAGATCTTAAACAGTGTATACAAGGACATAGAAATTGGTTTTGAATTATATCAATTATTTTATCAATATTGGTATCATTTTTCAAATGAAATAATATATTTCAAATTTATGCAAATACTTTTTAAAGGCCACTGTTTTATTTGTAGATTCTGTAGATGGTTTTCAGAAGACTATAAGTGCTGACATACCCGATAGTGATGTTCTTATACCTGGTTCTCTCCGAGGCTGGTTCAGTGTTATTGGTATATATATATCATTACTCCCTAATTGTTTATAATTGTGGTAACTAAATGCCATATCAGCTTCAAAAAAATGTTAAGTTTGCCAATCGCAACTTTAGTAAGTTTAAATTCCTAGTGTTTAACTGACTTTTCTCTCTTTAGTTAGATTTCATAATACTCAATGTTGCTTTGCCCTCACAGCTACTTCAAACAGAATGACAATTATCAACTTGTAAATTAGTTTTAAGATGCCTAGTTAGAACAACTGTTATATGATTACATTAATTCTTCGAACTGTCTCCTCTTAATAAATTTGCAAAATTGATGGTTATCATGTAAATGGAGTTATAATGCTTCACATAAATTGTAATAATATTCAGTCTGTACACTATAATAATATTACAGGTGATATAATGGGTCCTGTATTGAGTGGTTTAGAGGATTTAATCCTGATACCAACTGGCTGTGGTGAGCAGAACATGATTCGACTGGCACCAAATGTTGCTATACTCCGATATCTCTCAATGACCAACCAACTCACAGATGACCTTGAAATTAAAACAGTAGACCATCTCAATAAAGGTGAGTGATACAGTGATCTTATTATATTTCATATAGCCCAATTTCTTGGTATTAAATGAGATTGTGCTCCATGCATTAGTGTGCTTCCCCTCTGTCTATATTCAATAAATAAAAGCATTTTATTTTTAAGGCTCATTAGATCAAGGCCACAACAACCTTGTATTTGAAATGCTTTTCAGCTCTATCACTTGTTTAATTTTACTTATCTTTTGAAACCTGTAGGATGTTTCTCACATTGAGTACCTCTTTGTTTTTTATTTCATTGGTTAAAAAGTAACAATGTATACAATAACATCTGCCCAGGTTGACCCACATTCATCAAAATTCATATCAATATGAAATAATTTTTAACAAGAAGACCCCATATGTTTTTAGTCACTAGGTCAATAGTTGGGGCCACCATGACTTAAATTTATCAATCAATAAAATGTTGAAGGGTTGAAACATGAGTTCTTGTATAAAAAACTTCTAATAATGATCAATTTTTATACAATATTTATCATATTTGTTCAGGTTACCAGCAACAACTGACATTCATGCATAAGGATGGTTCCTATAGTGCTTTTGGTGATGGTGATGATCATGGTAGCACATGGCTCAGTGCCTTTGTGTTCAAGACCTTACAACAGGCAGTCGACTTTATTTACATAGACAGAAAACAGATCCAAACTAAAACCTGGGAGTTTCTTATCAATAAACAGGGTGTTGACGGCTGCTTTATAGGTATGATAAATCTTCTGCTAGAAACTTAAGTAAAAAATTTGTAGTAAAACATTATTATCTTGTCACAATAATACCGTTAATTAGGTTTTTCACAGAACTTTCCATTATGAAATTAAGAGGCAGATAATGGTTAAGCATGAAGAATATTTTTCTTCTATTTCAAAAGAATTTCATAGTGTTTGTGACATAAATGTTGTAATATGACCAGAACTGTGTTTAAAAAATGGCATTATAACCAAAACAAACCAAAAAAACTTTTGACAAATTTTTATTGTCATTTGTTTTGATGTCTTGTAAAATTTATCATTTATGGCAAATTTATTTTTGTGTTATCATGTTTTTACTTCTAAATTTCATGAAACAAAAAAAACTGTTTATCTATCTGGCTCCACAGAAATGTGTAACTATGTCTAATGTAATCTATCTAGACAAGAAGAATATTTAAGGCTTTGTTTCACACATTTGTCCACTAAATACAAAGTACTTATATAAGTGTGATGTTATTTCAGAGGAAGGGAAGGTTCTCAGTAAATACATGATGGGTGGGGTAATAGGTAGTAAAAGTGATAAGAGGAGGGCTCTTACAGCTTATGTACTTGTCTCCATGCTGGAATCCTTCAAAATGATGAGAGAGAGAACACCGGTATGTAAACAATTTTATGACATGACATTACTTGTTTTTCAAAGTTTTAAAAACTTTTGTATTTCTTTATGCAATTCATACATGTAGTATGAGAGTGGGTCAATATGTAATGCAATATGAAGTATGTTTTTCTAATTTAGCTTGTGTTCCTTTTATTTTTCTTTATTTCAAAATTAAAAGTGCTGGAATGGCTTACATAAAAGCTTGAGCAAAACTTAGGGAAAATCTGCTTTAATGTTTATAATGATATTTGTAATATCAATGGCAACAATGAAGTATTGAATTTTGTTACAATTCAGGGTCATTACTTTGTTTATTTATGGATTTAATTTTTACTCACTAATGATAAAAGAATACTTATAATAAAACTGACATGTTAAGTACTCTAAATATGACCTTGATCATCAAGGTCAAGTATTGAATTTAGCTGAGATTGCCATAACTTTGTTATTTACTTACGAATTTGATTTGTTCTTGAAAGAAAGAACCCTTATAACAAAATCTGCATATTGAATTATTCAAATATATCCCTGACCTTTATTTGATCTTTGCCATTAAGGTCAAATTATTGAAATTTGCTAAGATTGCTATAACCTTAATATTTACTTAAGTATTTGATTCATTCTTGGCAAAGGAACACTTAATAAGACAAAACTGACGTGATTATTAATTCAAATGTGACCTATATTTGACATTCACCTTCAAATGACCTTGACCGTCAATATCAAATTTTAGTAGAAAATAATGTTTTCAGGGATTATTCTTTACTTCAATATAAAAGTTGAGCGGGGTCCATTCTAGGCAGTGGCAGTGCCACACAGTCAGCTGAACGATATAGACACGTTAGACTGTTTATGTAAATGAAAACCATATTTTCTCAGGTTCAAAGATTACAAAAAATATATATTTAGGTCTTGTTTTGATACTATGTAGTTGTGATGTATGCTATATATAGTGTAATTTGTATTTTCAGCCATTTGTTGCACTTGCTGTGCGATGTATACAGGTAGATAACCTGACAGACACCTATACACATGCCCTGGTTGCCTATGCTATGACCTTGTATAAACCTAACAGTAGATTTACTGAAATATTGTTGCAGAGACTCAAGGATAAAGCCATCATGGAGGGTATGTACTGGGTTCCATTTGTATGTCATTATGTTGATTACACTCAGTGATGGTCCTTTGAGTTCTTTCATATCCAATAAGCTAATGCAAGATTAATGCTACACCTACATATATCTGAAAGAGTGTTTGAAACTTGAAATGAAAATTCATTTTCCACACCTTGATTTCAATCTTGTCATATTTTTCTCACAATTTGATTTGCCTACCTTGTTATATTGAAGGAGACACCATGCACTGGAAAAGGGAAAAGATGCCTGCCATTTTGTCAGGTCAAGGTCGTGCAGCATCAGCAGAAATAGAGATCACAGCTTATGCACTCCTGGCATTGTTAACAAAAGACAAGAATGTTGCTATTAGTGACATCATGCCAATAGTACGCTGGTTAACCAATCAGAGAAATGCTTATGGTGGCTTTGCTTCAACACAGGTATGTTTATTTAGAAAACCTCATTTTAAACAATTTAAATGCAAACTATTTTTTCATTGGTCTAAGCATGTGGTTTATGGATTTTATATCATATATCATTTTCCAAAGATTATTATCATTAGATAAAAATGAGTCAAGAGCTTCAGTAGATGTTACTCTTCCTGTCTTTCAATAATCCTTTTAACATTGAATTAACAATTTTAGATTCACTTCTTGAAGACAGTCCAGAGCTTTTGTCATGACCTTCTCATCAATGCTGGTTAATCTTTTTGGTCAAGTTTTTGTTTATAGTCATTTACATCAATAGTATTAAAGTCATTATACTGAAACTTAATTTGATATTGCACCTTGATAAATACTGTCTACCACACACATTTACAGATCAAAAGGTCAAAAAAGATCACTTGGACCTTTAAAAACAAAAGATAAAACTGACCATTTAATTAAAATGAATTGATCTGGCAACTTCAAACTTTGTATGTTATGTTGTACCTTGATTCTACCTGCCAAAATATCAAGGTGATTGTGACCTGTTGTTACAAAACATAAAACTGACCATTAAATCAATGTTCATTGACCTGGGAACTTCAAACTTTGTATGAAGATGCATTTTGATGAGCCCTGTGTTCAATCCATCAATATCAATTAATCAAATAATCTTCAACTCCTTTGCTTATATTAGTATCATACAATAAATTCTGTCTCTGGCTTCAGTCTGTTAAATGTTTGACTGATTGTTGGTACCTGTAGGTCAATTAGGATCTAGGCGGCCAACAGCACTATGTACATTTACTTAAATAAAATGATATGAGAATTTTTATATGAAAATTCAGTAATAAAGTTATCTCTTTATTTCATTAGGACACAGTTGTAGCCCTACAAGCATTGTCATTGTTTGCTGAGCGTATCTATGGTGGTGGACTTAATGTCAATGTAAACATTGTGGATGACAACGTATACTCCAAGGATGTCAGTGTGACACATAAAAACAGCATTATCCTGCAACAATATGACCTTGACAATCCAAGGTCAGATCTCCATATTACTGCTAAAGGAGAGGGATGTGTACTATTACAGGTGAGGATATATTAGATTCTGATAATGTTACAAAGGAAAGATAATAGAAAACAAACACTTAAAAGCTGCAACTACACAAAGCAAAATAATTGAAGAATTTAGTTTAACTCAGAGCAATTGCAGTGGTAATGCAAGAGTTTATGTCATCCATGTGTAGTAAATTAAAGGCATGTACAGACTGAATCACTCAATTTTAGCTTTATGATATACTTATCTTTTAGAAGAATAAACAATCTCTGTTTATTTTGTTTGAGCCAAACTGCTCAAAGCAAAACATGTTCATTATTTTGTTTTTTAAATTATCCACAAATCAAAAGCTGACATTAAAGCTTTCTTGTAATAGGCCAACTATTTCCAAAAATCAAAGACTAACACCACTTAGTAAAGATCGAAGCCAGTTTGCATTCTTCATTCTTCATCTGATTTGACATAGACTGTATACAAAAAGCTACACAAGTACATGTAAATAATTTTGATGATGATATTCCCAAAAATGGACTGTCCATCACATGATTGGGGAAAGGTATTTTTTGTCTCTGTAATTTCAAAGCATACAGAAGCAAATTAAAATCATCAGATGATAATTGTTGTGTTAAACAAATTTCTTGCACTGAATTTTAGACAACGTATAGATATAATTTGGAAAGAAAGCAGAAACATGATGAGGTATTTAAATTGTCAGTGTCAACACCAGTTAGAAGAGAAGCTATTGATAATAACTGTCGACAGAGAACTGTCAAAGTTTGTGCAAGGTGAGCAATCTTCGGAAATAAAAACTATGATTAGAGTTATGAAAATCAGATTTATAGCTCACACACATTTCCCATACATGGATGATTCTGATGGCTATTTTAAATAAAATTTTCATTTAAAGCCATTAACACTTTTTGCAATACATGCTAATAAACTGTTCAATAGGTTGCTTCATTGTTTTTCAGGAGCATGTTTCTAAAAAATATCATCCCATCAGTCATCAAATACATTTTTTTATCATAATTTATATTCTTCCATGATCTTAATAAATATTCACAATCAGAAGATAATGTGTCCCAAGCAAATATTTAGGTCTATAGTGCAAAGTTCATGGTTTTTGTTTCTTGTCAGTTAGATTGATTTTGAATTATGAATTGAATAATTGATCTAGAAAAAAATATTTTTCTCTGAATTTACAGTTACCATTGAGTTATCATTGATATTTACAATATTTCTAATTATACCATTACCATTGAGTTATCATTGATATGTTTAATGTTTCTGATTATACAGTTACCATGGAGAAGATGAAATGAGTAACATGGTTGTTATAGAAGTAAAACTGGCCAGTGGTTGGATACCTGATGTTAAATCATTGCAACATGTAAATGTTTCTTTGAATATTATAATGTATAGAATTTAAATAGAGAATTTTCTAATGGTCTTTTACATTTTCCATATGTATGAGATCTATAATTTTTCATTAATATGTATTAATCTTATGACATATTTGTAGCTTGTTACAAGGACTTTTGGGTAAACTTTTCTTTTAAGTTTGCTCTGTGGTAATGAAATAAAGATGGTAGAACCAATGTGCTTGGGTGTCTGAAATCAAACATAAAAAAATAATTGAGACTGTTATAAAGCTGGTTATTTTCAATTAAGACTTGAACTTAGTAGTTGATGCATTTTAAAGGAGTGTTTAACATTGTTGTGTCTACCTGTTTGCCTTGTAAGTTCTTGTGCCAGAGGTTAATGTGAGAAAGTGGCAATTTTGTTCTTGAATGTCAGTGTAAGATTTTAATGAGGGTACATATAGTTTATTACATAGATATATAAATGATATATGTTGTTGTATTTACAGTTAGTTAACTCAGCAGAAATAGACTTGAAAAAATACGAGATGGATAAACGTTCCCCTGATACGGTCAACTTTTACTTCAATGAGGTGGGTAAAATTATCTCCTCTGATACGGTCAACTTTTACTTCAATGAGGTGGGTAAAATTATCTCCTCTGATACTGTCAACTTTTACTTCAATGAGGTAGGTAAAATTATCTCCACTGATACTGTCAACTTTTACTTCAATGAGGTAGGTAAAATTATCTCCTCTGATATGATCAACTTTTACTTCAATGAGGTGGGTAAAATTATCTCCTCTGATACTGTCAACTTTTACTTCAATGAGGTAGGTAAAATTATCTCCACTGATACTGTCAACTTTTACTTCAATGAGGTAGGTAAAATTATCTCCTCTGATACTGTCAACTTTTACTTCAATGAGGTAGGTAAAAATTATCTCCTCTGATACTGTCAACTTTTACTTCAATGAGGTCGGTAAAATTATCTCCTCTGATACTGTCAACTTTTACTTCAATGAGGTAGGTAAAATTATCTCCTCTGATACGGTCAACTTTTACTTCAAAAAATTATCTCCTCTGATATGGTCAACTTTTACTTCAATGAGGTGGGTAAAATTATCTCCTCTGATACTGTCAACTTTTACTTCAATGAGGTGGGTAAAATTATCTCCTCTGATACGGTCAACTTTTACTTCAAAAAATTATCTCCTCTGATACGGTCAACTTTTACTTCAATGAGGTGGGTAAAATTATCTCCTCTGATACTGTCAACTTTTACTTCAATGAGGTAGGTAAAATTATCTCCACTGATGCTGTCAACTTTTACTTCAATGAGGTAGGTAAAATTATCTCCTCTGATACGGTCAACTTTTACTTCAATGAGGTGGGTAAAATTATCTCCTCTGATACTGTCAACTTTTACTTCAATGAGGTAGGTAAAATTATTTGCACTGATACTGTCAACTTTTACTTCAATGAGGTAGGTAAAATTATCTCCTCTGATACTGTCAATTTTTACTTCAATGAGGTAGGTAAAATTATCTCCTCTGATACTGTCAACTTTTACTTCAATGAGGTGGGTAAAATTATCTCCTCTGATACTGTCAACTTTTACTTCAATGAGGTAGGCAAAATTATCTCCACTGATACTGTCAACTTTTACTTCAATGAGGTAGGTAAAATTATCTCCTCTGATACTGTCAACTTTTACTTCAATGAGGTAGGTAAAATTATCTCCACTGATACTGTCAACTTTTACTTCAATGAGGTGGGTAAAATTATCTCCTCTGATACTGTCAACTTTTACTTCAATAGGTGAAATCATCTCCCCTCTACTCACCATTCAGATTATCTCCCATTGTCATATATATTATCACTCCTTTATTGAACATTTGAAATATAATAAGCTTCCTTTGACATGGATTGTCTCCCTTGTTTGATCATTCAAATTATCTCCCTTTCTCACATAGATTATTTCTTAAAATGATCATACAAAAGACCTTCTCTTAACAACTGATTCAGATTGATATTATCTCCCATTAACTGATCACATGAATTATCAACCTAAGAATTCATATTAAGAATCTCCCATTACTGATATAAGTTGTTTCCCCTTAAATGATCTTTCTTAACTTGTTGTCATTCAAAATATTCTCTTTTGACATGCATAAATAGGTTTGACAATATAAAGGAGATTATAAAGATAAAAAATAACATAATTATGGTGGCATATTTTTGCCACCAGATAACCTGATAACTAACTAGTTAATTAAGAGGTTAACTAGTTACGTAACTAGTTAACCTGATACCTAACTAGCTAATTAAGAGGTTAACTTGTTACGTAACTAGTTAACCTGATACCTAACTAGTTAATTAAGAGGTTAACTAGTTATGTAACTAGTTAACCTGATAACTAACTAGTTAATTATGAGGTTAACTAGTTAACCTCTTAATTAACTAGTTAGTTATATGGTTGTCTGGTGGCAGAAATATGCCACCATACATAATATATATAAATATAATTTTTCATCGAAATGATAAATTGTCTTAATGATATTTTACACAATGAAAGTAAAAACAAAATTAACTTGATTTCAAGAGACATATATTAAATTGACATTTAAATTGCATTATGTTATTAAAATATTTTCACCATACAAGATTAATTAAAATCTTCTGAACACTGTGCTTGTTGACTCATTTTTTTTAGGGAAATGTACTGTATATGATAGATATTTGATTTGTTCCTTTTATGCTTCTTATAAATTTTATAAATTTTAAAATTTGATATGACAATTTAAAGTTTGCCAACATTCATTAAATTATATATTTGATCATGATTTGCTACTTTTGTATTAATATTACGATAATGAACTGTTATAAATGTGTACAAAAACAGCAGCATAAAATATGTTTAAACAAATATTATATAATGATTTTCAGCTGTACACAAGTATGAGGGTGTGTTTTGAGTTTGGTATAGTTCTGGAAGTAGAAGTAAAGGAACATAAACCATCAGCTGTTAAAGTGTTTGACTACTATGAAACTGGTAAATGCTCTTTACATCTTAACAAGATGAAATTAATATCCTCCCATTTTAATACGTTTTTACCAATAATTCTCCAATAAAAAAATATAAGCACTGGATTAGTGTCATTCAAAGCAACAAACCTTTAAAATCATAATATTTTTTATCAAAATTTAGAAAGTGTTTTGAAAACTTTGTCAAATGTAAGGTTATTTACTTATATTAGCCTTATGCTCTGAATATGATTGTTTTCATTGGACTTCAACCAGGATTTATTACATTACATTACGTGTATTATAACAGTGGCGTACAAAAACACACGTAAAAACGCGAAAACAAATTTATGGTTATTAATTTTTTATTTGTTTAAGTTGCGTAATAAAAAGAATCACGCATTTATTGTCGTGTAAAATAAATATTTTATTAAATTTATCGAAAAAGAAAACTATATTGCTTGCCATAGGCTTTCTGTATAACAATATTTATTGAACTTTATAAATAAAATTCTATATTATGGTATTTACTGTGTGTGGCTGTTTTTATTACATGACTGTGAGATCATGTTACGTCTGAAACAGATCAACTTAAAAAAGATTTGAAAAACAAACAAAATGAATTAGATGAAATAAAGGACAAAATGCAATGTATTCGTGATAGGGTCAGACGAGAAACTGAAACAAATGACAGGGTTTTAAATGACCTAGAGCAGTACAGCCGCAGAAACAACATCAGAATATATGGTGTTCCTGGCGATTCAGAAAAACAGTCCTCTCAGGAAACAACTACAAAGGTCGTGTCCCTTTTGAACGAAAAACTTTCAATGTCAATAACAGAAGAGAACATTGATATAGCACACAGGCTAGGGCAGTACAAAGGGAAAGATCGACCTGTTATTGTAAAGTTTGTACGAAGACAAGTTAAAATGAAGTTTTCGAAAAAAATAAAGAGATTGAAAACAAACAAATATTTTCATAAAACCATGATCTCACGTGGTTGAATCAACAGGTGCTATCTTCTCTTCGCCTTAAAGATACAAATGCAGTAAAAAAAATGCTGGTGTACGGATGGAAAGATTTTTGCGACATTCATGGACGACCAAAATGGAATAAAACGATTTAAGACAAAAGAAATCAAGTTTGTCGATTTTGATTACTGGTTGAACCTTCCGTGGCCAGGAAAAAGGAAATCCCAAAATAGACTATTTAGAGATAAAACATGATAATATGGACAGCCTTTGACTTTAAATTGTTTTCTCTCTATATAAACAGTTATACGGAATATGAAAATGCTAAAACTTAAGTTACAATGATTTTAAAATAACAAATGTCTACATATACTTGACATTTAGCAAAAAAAAAATTGTTTGCTTTTGCTTTTGTTGTTTATTTATTCAATCTTTTTTAGGTATAGTCTCTGTAATGATCTTGTCTTTTTTACCAAGACATTACCCTAGTGATTTTCATGCATATCTTTGTGTTTAGCGTGACTTATAATAATAAATAATAATAATAATAACAATAATAAAAGCAATAATATTAATAAAAAGCAATAAAATCAATAAAATAATCACAAAGATAGATTTTTTTTTCTTTTTTAGTATGTTTAAACATGTTTTTTGTTTGTTTGTTTTTTTAATCTCTCTGTAATGATCTTTTCTGTTTCGTTTTGTTTTTTCGCTTTTTCGCAAAGACATTACTTTGAGGTTCTTTTTCAATATAACTTTAATTTAGTGATACACTATTCATTGTGCTTTAAAAAATTTTGTTTTTGTTTTTTCTCCATCACTCTATTCATGCAGCACATAATAAATGCATAAATACTTATAAGTCAGTTTTATAAAAGTGCATATTATGCCTTAAAGTTATATCTCTGCAAGAATCAACACTTAGCATTTACTGTATGCTTAAATATATATATGATGCCCAAAATTAATATCTATTGGTTTGAACTGTTCTCTTTTTTTTTTTTTTTTTTCTCTCACAATGAAACTTTTTTTATGCATTTTTCTGTATATTTTTTTACTCAAAGTAAATTGTCTACCATTGTTCTTTTATATGTTTTTTTTTTTCTAAGAAATAAATGTAAGCTTTTAAAAAAATATCAGACGCTTCTATCTTAATTTTAGCTCGATTTTTCTTTTTTTATTTAAGCTATATTTATTTAAACTATTCTGGTTAAAAGAAGACAGTGTCTTTCAAGCACTTGTTTATATACAGAAGAAAAAGAAAAAATAGTCCAGCCATCCGGGTTCATTTTACTCTCACATTTTTGCAGTTATACAAAATGAAAAATATATCCAGTCTATAAGTGATTTATTAATTTTTCTCAAGTTTTATACTGGGAACAATTGTCCTTTCTGTGTTTATTTTGTATAAATGTGTGTGTGTGTCTGTAACTGTTTATATGTATGTATGAATGATTTATTGATTTGTTTGTGTTTTGTTCACATTACATTCCTTGAAGCATGTATTTTTTTCTTTTTCAAATATACGTTTTAGATGAATTCAAGTAGCCTAAATATCCTATCTTTGAATTGTAGAGGTCTTAACGGTTCAAAAAAGAGAATTGAGTTATTTAGATTTTTGAAGCAGAAAAATTGCAGTATTTACTGTCTACAAGATACACACTTAACGTTAAATATGAATAAAAATATATACTGTGAATGGAATAGTGAATGTTTCCTGAGCCAAGGGACATCCAATTCACGGGGAGTTGCAATTCTTTTTAATAAAAATATTGAATATAATATTCATAGCAAACATATTGATAACAAAGGAAACTTTATTGTTTTAGACTTAACAATTGAGGAAAAAAGATTAACCCTTATAAATCTTTACGGTCCAAATACAGATCAACCAATTTTTTACAGTGAACTGTTTGATATCATTGACAGAATAGGAAACGATTCTTATATCCTGTGTGGAGATTTTAACTTAGTTCTAGATCCTGACAAAGATTATTACAACTATAAATTTGTAAATAATATTAAAGCTAGAAATTTTATATTACAAAATATTGATCAGCGAAATCTTGTTGATCCATTCAGAGAATTTTTTCCAAATCTGAACAGATACACTTGGCGTAAACCGACTCCACTCCAACAAGCACGCCTTGATTTTTTCCTGGTAACTGAAACAATTTTCCCTCATGTAGAAAATATTAAAATTGAGACAAGCTATCAGTCAGATCATTCAATTGTTATAATGAAGATAAAGTTTAATGACTTTATACACGGAAAAGGTCTATGGAAACATAAATAATTTCCCTTTTAAAAGATATAGATTATTTGAATAAAATACAGACAAAAATAGTTGATATTAAAAAACAGTATGCTTTACCTATATATAACCTTGAAAATATATCGGAAATACCAAATGATGAAATTCAGTTTACGATAAACGATCAGTTGTTTTTAGAAACACTTTTAATGGAACTGAGAGGGACAGCTATATCTTACAGCAGTTATCTTAAGAAAAAAGAAAGAAATGATGAAAAAAGAATAATAAATGAAATACAAGAAATCGAATCAAACTTGTCAGACGATAAACTTAACCGATTGCAAGAATTGCAAAATAATTTAAAAGAACTTAATAATATTCAGCTTCAAGGTTATCTTATTAGGTCAAGAGCAAAATGGACGATAGAAGGAGAAAAACCTTCAAATTTTTTTTGCGGTTTAGAAAAACATAGTTACATAACTAAGACTATACATAAGATTCAAAAAGACGACGGTAGTATTCTTAATGATCAAAAGTTAATATTAAAAGAAATTGAAGATTTTTATAGAACTCTTTTCAGCAAAAAATCAGCATATGATGCAAATGATCAATTTTTACAATTTGTAGAAAATATAGATGCACCGGTTTTAAGTGAATCGGAATCCAATGTATTAGAAGGCTATATAAATTATGAAGAAGCTAGTAAAGTTTTACAAAATATGGCAAATAATAAAAGCCCGGGGACATCAGGCTTTAGTGCAGATTTTTATAAGGTATTCTGGAAAAATTTAGGTCCTTTTGTGGTAAGAGCTATCAATGATGCTTATACTTCAAATAAATTGTCAGTGACCCAAACACAAGGTGTAATAACATGTATTCCAAAAGAAAATAAACCTAAACAATTCGTGAGAAATTGGAGACCTATAACACTTCTAAATACCGTATACAAAATTGCTGCAGGTTGCATAGCGAATCGAATAAAACTTACTCTAGATAAACTAATAAATAAAGATCAAACAGGTTTCATCAAAGGAAGATATATTGGAGAAAATACCCGTCTTATCTATGATATCATGCAGTATACTGAAGAAAATAACATTCCTGGACTTTTCCTTTTAATAGATTTTGAAAAGGCTTTTGATTCACTCTCTTGGTCATTTGTACAGAATACTCTGTCTTTTTTTAACTTTGGTCCGTCTATAAAAAAATGGTTTGATATTTTATATAAGGATGCAACTTCTGCTGTTAATCAATGTGGGTTTTTATCAAATTTTGTTAAAAATAGGTAGAGGCTGCCGACAAGGAGATCCTCTTTCATGTTATATTTTTATATTATGTGCTGAAGTTCTAGCTTTAAAAAATAAGAAATGATAAGATTATTAAAGGGAATAAACATTATAACAATGTAGAACATAAATTGTCACAATTTGCAGATGACACAACAATGATTTTAGATGGATCAAGTGCGTCTTTAAATAAATCTTTGGAAATCTTGTCAGATTTTTGCACAGCTATCGGGACTTAATGTTAATTTTGATAAAACTAAGGTTGTGTGGATAGGAAAAATGAAATATTCTCAAAACAGTATAAAAACAAGATGGAAATTGTCTTGGAATCAACATCAATTTAAAATGTTAGGCATAAATTTTCATGTTGACTTAAGTAAAATGATGGATTTAAACTATAGCGAAAGAATAGAAAATATCCGAAAGGTTATTCAAAATTGGAAAAGAAGAATTCTCACACCAATAGGTAAAATTGCTGTCATTAAATCTCTTTTGATTTCATCTCTTAATCATTTATTCATTTCACTACCAAACCCTTCTGAAAATGTAATCAGTGTATTAAATAAAATGTTTTATGACTTTATTTGGCAAGGAAATGTAAAAATAAAGTCTTCCGTTATTGTAAAAAACTATGATGAGGGCGGCTTGCAGATGATAAATATTTCTGCCTTTATCATGTCATTAAAAAATAACATGGTTTAAAAGAATAATCTCAAATGCTAGTTGGAAAAGTATTCTTTACGACAAAATAGATATGCAAAAGTTTTTTCACTGCGGAAACCATTATTTTGATAAACTTGCAAAAGAAACAAACAATCTTTTTTGGAAGGACACTTTTACGGCATTTTCACGCTATATTGAATTAATTCCAATCGAAAAATCATTCTTTTCGGAAAACATCCTTTATTTTATATACAATAACATATTAATTGGTTCAAAAAGCGTATATTTAAAATCATGGTTCGATGCTGGAGTTTGTAACATAGAACACCTTATATCTGATGGAAAGTTTTTATCTTATAATGAATTTATTAAAAGATACAATGTCCAATCTAATATCTTAATTTTCAACGGTATGATTCTATCAGTTAAGCAATTTTTAAATAAATATAAATAATATATAACATCCAACAGAAAAAGCATTGGCCCAGACATACCGCTATACTTTAAAGATATTATATCAGACATAAAATGGAGCAAAACCTTTCTATAATATATATTAAATAAAAACAAATCAAAGCCAACAAGTATCGAAAAATGGACAAATAACCTTAATTTAGCTTTTAGTTGAAAACGAATGGAAAATTATATTCGAAATGCCTTTTAGAATTACAAAATGTGCTAAGTTGCAATGGTTTCCAAACAAGAATTTTACACAGGATTATTGGAACCAATCATCTTTTATACAAAATTAAGTATAAAGAAAGTCCTTTATGTTCTTTTTTGTAGTAATGATGTTTGAAAGCATTGAGCATCTATTCTGGATGTGTCCCATTGTCAAAAAATTTATAAAGGAATTTCTTAAAATAAATGAAGCACCTTTTTTATCTTTAGGTATAAAAGAAATGATGTTTGGCTATAATGCAAAGGATGATTTATCTAACGCAAAAAACTTATTTTTAGTATACTTTAAAATGTATATTTATCAGTGTAAAATGCTTGATCTTTCTTTATCAATGATTGCAGCCAAAAAACTTTATAACACAAAAGCTCAAGACTGATAAAGAGGTAGCAATCATAAATAATAGATTACCGAAGTTTGAAAATGTTTGGAGTCTTTTTTAGAAAATTTATTTTTCTATTTTAAAAAGAAAAATGTCAGCTGAGAAAATATTATTTCTACACTGAAAAGTACTGTTTTTGAGTTTAAGTAATTAAGAAATAATTCAAGCCAAAATAGCATGCTTTAGATTTTATATACTGTTGATGCTTTTGAAACCATTTCTTTAAAAAAAAAATACGGTTATGAGTGCGAGTATGAATGCATGTGTCGTCCTTGTCTCTTTGTGTTTTTGTTGTTGTTGTTGTTATTTTGTGTGTTGTGTGTGTGTGTGTGTGTGTGTGTGTGTGTGGTGTGTGTGTGTGTGTGTTTTCTTTTTGATTTTTTTTTTTGTTGTAATTGTTGTTTTTTTTTTTCTTTCATTACATTGGTTCCACATCTGGTATAACCGTTCATATGCATGAAAACAAAATAATTGTAAAAACCACTGTGGGATGTGCTTCGACCCACATATGGTTATAAGACGAAGCGAATAAATGGGGTTACCCCATGTGGGCCTGAAAAAAAAAAAAAAAAAAAAAAAAAAAAATGTTACTTCTTATATAATTTATGTATAATTTAATTATTATCTTTATACAATTTAGAATTAGAGACAACAGTATTTTATGAGATGACGAAATGTTCTGAAGCAAATATAGAGTATGTAGATGTCAGTTTAAATGGAGATACTGATTTATACCTGGAAGGTGACAGTAAACTGAATATAGAAGATGACAGTAAACTAAATATTGATGCTGACAGTCATTTACCAACAGGTAGGTGTCAAGTGTTGAAAATTGTTATGGCCATCCCCCACCCACCCCATTCATGGATAGATAGATCTGGAAAATAATCAGTGTTTTGTCCTGTCTGAGTCTATTCAATGTTTAAACGATTTTAATATCAAATTCATAAATTCAGCTAGCCTGGTCAAACTTCATTGAACTTGCTTTATACTGGTTGGCAAGTTTTAATCACTTTCAGTGTCAGCAGATAAAGGGTTTACCTTTGACAGTACATAGTTATTCTGTAAAGTAGAGCCTATATATTTGGACTGTCTCAAGTCTCTTGATTAGTGCTCCATTTTTGTCACATTGTATGACCTTAAGCTGTAAATTACCTTGAAGGTCTTGGTTTTAAAAATGTAAGGTGATGTTTCTAGCCATTGTAATACATAACCATTTTATCACTATTATAGTAACAAATACATTTTCAGAATTTATTGATTTCATGTCATTATTGAAACAATGTAGCTCTGATATGTTTGAAGATGTGTTATATAATTAAGATGGAGTCAAGGTGCCATTAAAATTGGAGGGAAAATGTCATTTTATGCAAATCGGAATATAAATCTATTTTGAAGTCATATGTTGTAAAAGGTGCATGACTTTGAAGTGAAATATATGTATAAAACACAACTGTTAAACAGTTAAAAATACGTTGGTCTGTTTCAGATTTTATCAATGAGGGACTATGTTAATTTTTTTTAGATACTCTATCACATCCAGGAGGGAATGAGCAAGGAAACGCTGCCGCCCCATCGTCAGAGACAACAGACATAGAGGATGGTGTTGCAGCCCCTCCCACAGGGCCTCAATGTCCAAAATGTGTAACCACAGGGGTTGTCAATATTCTCCAAGATATCTGCAAGAAACAGGGTATGCTTAAACATATTGATAATATTGATTTACAAAAACAGACTATGCTTAGACTTATCAATAATATCAACTTATTACCTATGACAAGTAAAATTCAGTATTTCCATTCAATATGAATCTTAATTTACAAAAAGAGAAAATATGTGAATGCAGGAGTAATAATTTTGCGTTCAAATTACTTTATCAATTAAGTTGGCCAGTGTATATTTGTATTTTTAGTGTGGTTGTTAGAGAGAAAAGACCAAATGTTGCTCAGCGTGATGACAGCTGATGGAGTCAGTCCAGACATAACAATAGATATTCCAGAGTCATTGGAGAACTGTGGACAATGTAGTAACTTATTTGAAAAGGGTAGGTCAAAGATTTTATGTAGAAGTTCATTTTGATGTTCTGTTTTGAGTCTAACAGACTTGAAAGCATGCTCATTGAGATTTTATACAAGGGGAGTATGAACTGGACTAAGTTGTTTGGTACTGTAGTTAGGGATTTGAAAACAAAAATATCTGTCTCAAAATTTAATCACCACTTTTTTCACAAATCACAAATTTTTGTACATTTGTTTTTAATTGATGAGGATAAGAAAATGACAAGAAATATGATTACCCCTGCAGTAAAGACCACCTCTGAACAAAGACCACATACAAATTCTTTGCTTAAAATCAAGGCAAAAGTGGTCCTTTTTAACTGATTATAGTTTTACTAAATGAATGATAGTTTTGTTATATGAATGTTCAAATTTGAAGAATATCTAGCTTTTATGGACAATGTGTGTTTTTTTAGTTCATCATAGAATTTTGCTCTCTCTAACATTTTTGTTTCTATACAAAATTATATTGTATGTGTAAATTGATCAATGATGAATATACATTCAAAGTTATTCTAACATCTTGTATTGTTTTACAGGAGACAAAAGTTTGATATTCCTGGAGCCATATGATTGGTCGAACCTTGCAGCAAATATTGCCCAGAGGTCAACAGTGGTAATACCATGGTCAGCTTCTCTCAATGAATCCATACTACAAGTGTTGGCATCTTGTTCCTATCTCTAAAACACAAGTTATTATATAACATGTAATATTATGTACAGAGTGACAATTACATTATTATAAGTCAGCTTCCTAAGTCTTGGAGATTGAGATTAGTGCTCATTCATAAGAATTATTCTATGAACAAGGTGCATACAATGAACAACATAAAATAATACTGCATATGTAGGCATACTATCATACAAATGTAACTAAAAACAATGGAAACAAAGACATACCTTTTTCAGTTACTGATTTTAGTCATTTATATACAAATGTATGTGTAAGTGCCATAAAATCATTCTACCAGCATGTTTCCTTTGCATGTTTTTCATTCCAATTTATACATAAATAGGTAAATTTTATTGATGACCTAGTTAAATATTTAATTACCCTTCAAATCGAATACTAATGTAAAGTTTTTGTCACTGATTGATAAATGATTCCTTAATGGGCTAAAAATCAGCTGCACAAGTTCTGAGAAATTAAATGTGTAAATAAGACTGTTTTATTTCATATGTACATGGAACCCCATGGACACTAGTAAAGTTCAAATTTCATGTTGAAACTGAATCTATATCTACATGTAATATACAATGTATGAGGAATTGTGTTCTATCTATGTCTTTTATACATAAAATTTAAAAATGAAAAAACAAATATTTTAAACATGTATAAAGTTTTAGTATGCTGTGGAGATATAAATATTTTATGACAAATTTAGTTCTTTGTTCAATGAAATGATTATATGTTTAACGAGTGTTGGAAAATCATAAAAGCATTAACATTTACAATTGCTTGTGAAATAATTTAGGTGAAAGGTCATGGATGCAGTGATCTGCTTTGAAAGCAGTAAGTAAGTAAGTAAGTAAGTAATGTCTTTATTTACTGAGGCTACACATTTGGTTACCCAATCTTCCATGTGGGCCTCAAAACATTAATATACATAAAGTATACATAATTTACATCATGGTTATATGAAAACACAAAATGCATAATATATACATGAAAACAACAACAACAGAAAACAATGTACATTCAAACAAAATACATATTCAATACATACATACATTACTTAGCAAGATAAAAGCGTAAATTGTACTTATGTGAAAATTGCCAACATGATAAAAAGGAAGCTTGAAATTTTCCAGATAGTTTCAGATTTACAGTATAGAAATGAAAGGGATATTATTCCAAGTAGTTTAGGGCCTGAAAAAGCGATGTTATTAAAATAATTGATGAAGAAAGTTGAAGTGAAAAGGTTGAACCAAGAGTCATACAAAATTTAAAAGACCCAGGTTGAGACTTCCATCATATTGACAAATTAACCACTTTAGCTTAAAATCATAGCACGACTGTCTTGTCTCCAAGAGGTCATCAGGTCCTGGTCAAGGTTGCAGAAGTCAGGACACTAAGCAAACCTTAACCTAAACTCAACAAATGTTATTTGATATATGTCTCTATAATTAGACCAAGTCAATTCTTTTTATCTTATTATGTGCATTTAGATCAAGAAAATTCTTTTCATTCTTATCTGTATTTAATCATGCTTAAATTAATAATACAAAAAAGTGCTTTACCAAAAAATTAATTATCAGCAATTATACTTTTGTAATAATATTTTATTCATGTAAATAAATATGATTATAAGTATTGATTCAGCATGTTTATTTCTAACCCCTTTTGGAAAAAAAGTTGTACCATCATCAAGTCAAAATAATATTGAATGTGAGAAAAATGAGTTGAAGGCCCTTCATATCATTGTTCTTGATAGGAATGAAGAACGATTGTCTTTAAAGTAAACAACTTTAACATTGATATGGAAGTTCTGTTTGTTAAGGTTACAAAAATGTTTAATCATGATATCTTCAAAAGATAAGCCCTTAACCATCATAATTTAGAGGATTGCTCCCTTAAATACGTAAAATAGCAACTGTTTTTGGAAGGCAAAGATTGAAACCACATATGACCCAGTCTACGAAAACTCTAAGAATGCATTTCAAATCTTAAAAGAAGGTCTGTGTTTATAGACGCATAAAGCTGTGATAGTACACCAAGCTATTTCATAATCTCAATTGTAAAGGCTCAATCAAGATAATCAGCAGAAACCATTCTGACATTTAAGGCCCCTGTGACCTTGACCTAGTGACCCCAAAATCAATAAAAGTCATCTTGTTATGACCAATCACTATGTGAAATATGACGACTTTGTGATGAATACTTTTCAAGATACTCAGCAGAAACCATTTGATATTTAAGGCCCCTGTGAACTTGACCTTTGACCTAGTGACCCCAAAATCATAAGGGGTCATCTACTGGTTATGGTCAATCACTATGTGAAATATGACGACTTTGTGATGAATACTTTTCAAGATACTCAGCGGAAACCATTTGATATTTAAGGCCCCTGTGACCTTGACCTTTCTCCTAGTGACCCCAAAATCATAGGGTTCATCTACTAGTTATGACAAATCACTATGTGAAATATGACAACTTTGTGATGAATACTTTTCAAGATAATCAGTGGAAACCATTTGATATTTAAGGCCCCTGTGAACTTGACCTTTGACCTAGTGACCCCAAAATCATAAGGGGTCATCTACTGGTTATGGTCAATCACTATGTGAAATATGACGACTTTGTGATGAATACTTTTCAAGATACTCGGCGGAAACCATTTGATATTTAAGGCCCCTGTGAACTTGACCTTTGACCTAGTGACCCCAAAATCATAAGGGTCATTCTACTGGTTATGGTCAATCACTATGTGAAATATGAAAGACTTTGTGATGAAATACTTTTCAAGATAAATCAGCGGAAACCATTTTGACATTTAAGGCCCTGTGAAGAACTTGACCTTTTGACCTAGTGACCCCCAAAATCATAAAGGGGTCATCTACTGGTTTTATGGTCAATCAGTATGTGAAATATGAAGACTTTGTGATGAATACTTTTCAAGATAATCAGCGGAAACCATTTTGACATTTAAGGCCCCTGTGACCTTGACCTTTGACATAGTGACCCCAAAATCAAAAGAAGTCAACTACTTGTTTTGACCAATCAATATGTGAAATATAACGACTTTGTAATTAATACTTTTCAAGATAATCAGCGGAAACCATTTTGACATTCAATGCCCCTGTGACCTTTGACATAGTGACCCTAAAATCAATAGGTGTCATCTACTAGTTCTGACCAATCACTATGTGAAATATAAAGACTTTGTGATGAATAGTTTTCAAGATAATTAGCGGAAACCGTTAGATCTACCGACGGACTGACCGACAGACAGACCAACATTAGCAAAACAATATACCCCCTCTTCTTCGAAGGGTGGCATAATAATACAAATGTACTTACTTCACTATTAATACTAATCTATCACATTTCATTTTGTACTATTATATCGTATTAGATTTGTTCCAACTTTTTTCCATTCAATGTCCACTCAAGCAAATTCTGTCTTACAATTCTTTCAGATGCATTATATAATTGTCTCAGTTACGACATTGTAAATATAAATGCTTTGTTAAGTATGTTCGTGGCATCCCAAGAGATAAACAGCTGTAGCTCTTAACAGCAATGGTGCGCGACAAAATCGACGCTCCTGTAATTTCATGATTTTACAATATTTCTGGAATCACGAATCATTTAAAATACGGCTGCAACGACATTGTACTTTTACCAGCATTACAATTTTTTTCAGGAATATGTTTTTTTTTAAAATCATTCACGAGAAAGACAACCTGATTACCATTTTGAAAGTGACTTTTGTGTTTGTACATTTAAAACATATTTTTTTTATATTCTGTATATCAAAGACATTTGTCAAACTGCTAGTGTCGTAGAACACTAGAAGGAAGCTGGTAAATTAATATTTAGCTACTTTTAATTAGATAACCGCCGTTGCTTCAGTGCTTCATTCACGAATTCGGCGTTACCTCGTAAACATGGTACGTTATAGTACATAAAGATATCAACGAAGCAAATAGTCACCATCAAAACACTAGTCAGGTTTGGTTTAAACATATTTATTTAAGTTCTTGCAATTTATATTAATCACTTTCGAGTCTGTCTCCTGGAACCAACCAGTACTGGTGTCATATGAAGAAACATGGTCGTGACCCCGAGTAGGGCTCGAACCCATGATCTCTGGGTTGAGAGGCAGACACCTTAACCATTAGGCCACCGCTCCCCTTCAGGTCGTCATTTTCACCATAACATTTTCTAGAATATATTTTGAAGAGGTTTAAAATATAATGTCTGAGCAACCGTATGCGCTAATTTATTTCTCCTTTGGTGTACAATAAAATATTGGTCCATTTACTTATCGCGGGGCTTGTTTCAGCCAATGAATTGCACAATTCTGCGTTACGATTGCCCTGCTGGATTGCGTTTTGTTAATGTGATCCCCCAAGGAGTGTCCCTTACCTGTTAGCGATTGCGAGAATTTCTAGATTTTCAACGGACATTCCTACATTTAATGCTATGACTACCGCTGTTCAAAATGTGTTTGTTCCGACGTTTAATATTAAAATGACGTTAAATTTAAACATGATGTCACTTGAATAATACTAAACGTAAAACACGGGTCAGTTTATGAATATAATAAAAGTACAACCGAGCTTCAAATGTTTTAGATACGCTGCGCCTGGCGCATGGTAACATAGTACCTTAAATCAAAGTGCTGCAGCACTGAATGCGACGGACATGCAACCGGAGAGACATATTAAGGCTTCTTTTAGAAAAAACAAAAAAAAAACAAAAACAACACAAAATATATAACAGAGAAAATTTGTTCCATACAAGTTCGAGATTTGTAGAGCAATATATTTTGTGTCCAAAATTGATATAATTCAGATTTTCTACTTTCAAGCACTTAAATACAGAATGAAATTTATGCCTAAAAACTCTGGTCAAACTTGTAAATCAGTGTCCTTATCGATTTATTCTAAGAAATGATATGTAAATAGAAAAAAACCGAAATATTTCTAGAATAAATCCAGGCAAATAAACTTCAAACATAATACATTATACATTTGAGAATGCTATTTAGAATTGCTTCGTGTTATATCATAGTGGGCATACAGACAATAAAATATAAGTCATTTGTATTTTTATTTCTCTTGGATATGTCTCATTAAAAAAAAATTGGTTAAAATCATCAGCAATTAATAGTGTATTTCTTAGATTTTTTTTATTTACAAGGTAAAGATGTTGAGGC